ACTTATAATAGGCAGAGGAGGAGGGGGAGAAGGATGAGGAGGAGGAGGGAGGAGGATGGAGGAAGAGAAAGGAGGAGGAGGAGGCGGAGGGAGGAGGAGGGAGGAGGAGAGAGGAGGAGGAGGTCAGGAGAGGAGGAGGCGGAGGAGGAGGAGGAGGAGGAGGAGGAGGAGGAGGAGGAGGAGGAGGAGGAGGAGGAGGAGGAGAGGAGGAGGAGGAGGAGGAGGAGGAGGGGAGGAGGAGGAGGAGGAGGAGGAGGAGGTGGCTGAGGCGGAGGCGGAGGCGGAAAGCGGAGGTGTTGGCGGAGGTGTAGGCGTAGGCGTAGGCGGAGGCGGCGGAGGCGCGGAGGCGGAGGGCGGAGGGGAGGCGGAGGGAGGATGAGGAGGAAGATGAGGAGGAGGTGAGGAGGAGGAGGATGAGTAGGAGGAGGCGGAGGAGGAGGAAGAGGAGGAGGAGGAAGATGAGGAGGAGGAGGAGGAGGAGGAGGAGGAGGAGGAGGGGAGGAGGAGGGGGAGGAGGAGGAGGAGAAAAGGCTGAGGAGGAGGCGGAGGCGGAGGCGGAGGCGGCGGGCCGTGGCGGAGGAGGAGGAGGAGGAAGAGGAGGAGGAGGAGGAGGAGGCGGGAGGAGGAGGAGGAGGAGGAGGAGGGGGAGGAGGAAGAGGAGAGGAGGAGGAGGAGGAGGAGGAGGAGGAGGAGTTGGAGGGAGGAGGAGGAGGAGGAGGAGCAGGAGGAGGTCTGTTGCTACTAAAGGGGGTGGTGCTGGGGGGCTGGCTGTGTTTTCCCCGTGCAGCTGCGCCGATGACACACACAGCCTGGGTCGGTCCTCGTGGCACTGCCTGCGTCGCACTGCAAGTCTTCGAGGGGCGAGCACGCGTTGGCGCCAGAGGAGGAGGAGGAGGAGGAGGTGGAGGAGGAGGAGGAGGCGGAGGAGGAGGAGGAGGAGGAGGAGGAGGAGGAGGAGGAGGAGGAGCACACGCTGTCAGGGTCATCGAGCTGGGCCGACGCCTCGAGCGCCAATCCTCCCTGCGGACCTTCCATTTCTCTGTGCGCACAGGAAGCTCATCAAGGATGGTCTGATCATCCGCAAGGCGGTGAAGATGCACTCCCGCTCGCGCGTGCGCAAGAATCTTGAGGCGTCTGCGGCGGCGGAGAGGGCGGACTTCGCTGTCCTATCCCCCCCGGGCCCCCCTATCCCCCAACTTTTCCTCATTGACAGGACTTTGTTCGCGTGCGCAGCATCTCTTCAGCTGGATGCAAGGGAGAGGACATGTATATCGCTTGCGAGCCTATTCCCTTATCGTCGACGGTTGAGGTGCATCAGCGGCAGGATGGGAACATATTGCGGCTTCTTGGCGGCCGGCTTCGCGCTTCGCTGACTCTGGGGAGAAATTGTTCGGGCTCAAACGGCGGAACGGGGGACGGGACCGAGGGACAATGGCGGGCTTGATGGTTGGGTGAAATTCCAGTGACCTCGTCCTACCCCGCGACTTCCACCGGGTCGTCTTCTAGAGGCCTTGGATGCCTTATAGACTCCCTTGGGGTGCTTCCCGTTAGCCCCCTGGAGGGCCCAGTCGGGGGCGTGATGTGATGTCTTGGGGATTTTGGTATCGTACTGGAGTGATTAGCTTCCAGCAGCGCGGCGGTGGCGCGCTATTTTGGCTTCTCTTGGGGCCATCCCTGGGGTTTCTTGGGCTGGTCAAGGAGGTCTCGGACTGGTGGAGAAACTGCAGCGGGCATATTCCGCGCAGTTGTCGCCACGGGTGGCCATCCGTTGTTGACGTGCGATTCTGCATCGCCGCGCCTCTCAAGGATGTCAGTTCTCCAAATGGCTGTGCCCTTCAAAGGGCGTGCGCTAGCACGCGAGGAGGTCGAGGAGCAGGAGGAGCATGAGGAGTAGGGGCAGTACCGAGGAGGGGTGAGGATGTGGAGGGAGGGGAGGAGCAGGATACGCATAGGTATGATGTGCTTGCTTGGACGGTGATAAGCAAAGCATTGAGGATTATACGACGACGATGATGCTGATGCTGATGATCATGATGATGCTGATGATGATGATCATGCTGATGCTGTGATGCTGCTGCTGATGATGATAATGATGCTGATGATGGTGACGATGCTGACGATGATGATGATGATGCTGATGATGCTGATGCTGATTATGATGCTGATGCTGATGCTTATTATGCTGATGCTGATGCTGCTGATGATGATGCTGATGATGATGATGCTGCTGATGATGATGCTGATGCTGATGCTGATGATGATGCTGCTGCTGCTGAGGATGATGAGGACGATGAGGATGAGGATGATGATGATGATGATGATGATGATGATGATGATGATGATGATGATGATGATGATGATGATGATGATGATGATGATGATGATCGGCGGCGAGCCCAGGGGAGAAGTCAGCGGGGGCGGGCCATTACAGAAGGCTCGGAAGGCCTACAGCCTTCTGAAAGTTTTCTAAGCCTTCTCCGAAGAGACAAACGGCTTCGCAGAAGCCCGGACGGGCTCTGAGAAGCTCCGCCGCCTTCTGAGAACGCCTGCCCCTCTCACCCCTCCCACCAGACGCGCCGACGAGATAAGGATGAGGATGACGATGATGATGCTGTTCATGATGATGGTGATGATGTTTGTGATGACGATGATGATGATGATGATGATGATGATGATGATGATGATGAGGATGATGATGAGGAGGACTACGATGAGGTGGGTGATGGTGATGGTGATGGTGATTGTGATTGTGATGGTGATGCTGATGCTGATGCTGATGATGATGATGATGCTGATGCTGCTGATGACGACGACGCTAATGAGGATACTTAATGTGATGTTGATCATGTCGGCGATGCTGCAGATGTTGATGATCATGACGTTTACGATGGTGAGCGGATGGCAACGGAAATGACGAGGGCTCCGATGTCGCCGACGACGAATACGATGATCCGACCCACCAATGGTGACGACGTCTCTGATTCTGCCTCGGGTGACGGCGGTGAGGATTAACTGCATGTGTATAATGACGATGCTGGTGGTGATGATTCAGATGCTGCTGCTGGTGGTGGTAATTGTTGATGATGATGATAATGATGATGGCAATGACGACGACACTGGTGATGATGACAATGATGACGATGATGATGCTGATGGTGGTGGTGATGATGATGATTGTGGTGCTGATGATTATGACGACGATTATGATCGTGATGAGGATGATGATGATGACGATGATGATGATGATAATGATGATGATGTTGGCGATAATGATGATGATGATGATGATGATGATGATGATGATGATGATGATGATGATGATGCTGATGATGATGATGCTGATGATGATGCTGCTGATGATGATGAGGTTGATGATGATGCTGCTGCTGATGCTGATGATGATGTTGCTGTTGCTACTGATGATGGTGATGATGCTGCTGATGATGATGATGATGCTGCTGCTGATGATGATGCTGCTGCTGCTGATGATGATAATGATGATGATGATGATGATGATGATGATGATGATGATGATGATGATGATGATGATGATGATGATGATGATGATGATGATGATGATGATGATGATGATGATGATGATGCTACTGAGCCTCATAGCGCGGTGATTGGCAAACATTTGGGAAGGGGAGGAAGTGGATGACGACCAGGATGAGAAGGACGAGGATGAGCAGGGATTGGAGGAGCATGAGGTGGTATAGTGCTCCTGCAGCGCGGGTTCCCCCTCGGCACCCCCTGGGAAAGGCCAAGCGCAAGGGCCGCCACATGGGCATCGGCAAGCGCCGCGGCACGAAAGAGGAGCGGAGCGGGCTGGGAGGGAACTCCAGGTACAGCTGCTGGAGGAGCAGGGAGGATGCGGGGAGGGGGGGGGGGGGCGACGAGGAGGATATTTTGCTGGAGGAGCAGGTGGGATAGAGGGGGGAGTGGGTGATGAGGAGGAGTAGCTGTTCGAGGTCGCAGCCCCCCCCAAATGAGAGAGGGGGACGACGACGACGACGCCGACAGACGCCGACCACCGACGACCGCCGCCGCCGACGACGGCGACGACGACGACGGACGACGGACGACCGACGACAGACGACGGACGACGGACGACGGACGAGCGATGACCGACGACGGACGACCGACAACCGACAACCGACAACCGACGACCGACGACCGACGACCTACGACTGACGACCGATATCCTACGACGGACACTGGACGGCGGACGACGAACGACGACGGCGACGCCTATCGCCGACGACAGCCGCCGCCGCCGACGACTACGACGCACGTTCGACGAACGAAGACGAGCGACAGACGACGGACGACCGACGACCGACGACGGACGATGGACGACGGACGACCGACGACCAACGACCGACGACCGACGACCGACGACCGACGGACGATGACCGACGACCGACGATCGATGACCGACGACGACGACCGACGGACGACGGACGACCGACGACTGGCGACCGTTGACCGTCGACCGACAACCCATGACCTGCGACGGACGGAGGACGTCGGACGACGACGACGGATATTCGACGGACTACGACGAACGACGGACGATGGACGACCGACGACGAACGCCCGACGATGAACGACGGAGGACGGACGACCAACGACCAACGACCGACGACCGACGACCGACGCACGATGACCGATGACCGCCGACCGATGACCGACGACGGACGACGGACGACGGACGACCTGCGACCATCGACCGACGACCGACGACGGACGGTGGACGACGGACGACGGACGACGGACGACCGACGACCGACGACTGGCGACCGTTGGCCGGTGACTGACGACCGACGGCCGACGGCCGACAATCGATGACATACGACGGGCGACGGACGACGGACGACGGACGACGACGGCGACGACGACCGACGACCGACGATCGTCGACCGACGAGCGACGATCGACGACGGGTGGCGGACGACGGACGACAGACGACGACGACGTCGCCGACCGCCGCCGCCGACGGCGACAACAACTATAGACGACGGACGACCAGCGACCGACGACGTCTGGCGGCCGACGACCGATGACCCATGACCGACGACGGACGACGGACGACGGCGACAGCGATGTCGATGGCGACGACCACCGAAGACCGCCGCAGCCGCCGTCGACGACGGTGACGACGGACGACGGACGACCGACGACGGACGACGAACGACGGACGACGGACGATGACGATGACGACGAGGACGACGACGACCGCCGACGGCCGCTGACGTTCGCTGCCGCCAACGACGACGACAGACGAGGGACGACCGACAACGGACGACGGACGAAAGAAAACGCGCGACCGATGACCGTCGACCGACGACGACTGGCGACAGCCGACGACCGACGACCGATGGCCGACGGAAAGCGGGCGACCGACGACCGTCGACCGACGACGTCTGACGACGACCGACGACTGACGACGTCGACGGACGACGGACCATGACGACGGCGTCGACGACGACGATGAGGACGACGATAACGACGGCGTCGACGACGACGACGACGACGACCGATGATAACGACGACGACGACGGACGACTGACGACTGACGACGGACGGCGGACGAACGATGACGGACGACGGGCGACGGACGACCGACGATCGACGACCGACGACCGACGATCGTCGACCGACGACCGACAACTGACGACCGATGACCGACGACCGATGACCGACGACCGGCGACGGACGACGGACGACGGACGACGACGACGACGACGACGACCACGGCATCGACGACGACGGCGACGACGAGGCCGACGACCGTTTACAACGACGACGGCCGACGACCGACGATGGCGACGACGTCGACGACGACGGCCACGACGACGATGACGACGACGACGACGACTGATGACCACCCACGACGGACGACGGACGATCCACGACGACGCCGACGACGACGACGACGGACGGCGACTGACCACCGACGACCGACGACCGACCAAGATGACAAGATGGCAAAGGCGTCGATGACGATGACGACGACGGACGACGGACAACGGGCGACAGACGACGACGGCGGACGACGACCGACGACCGAGGAGCGGCGACCGACGGCTGACGGCCGATGTCCGACGACCGATGACGGACGACGACGATGATTGACGACGGTCGTCGGACGACCGACGACCGACGACTGGCGACCGACAAGGACAGCAGAAATGACAAATAAGAGGACGACATCGAAATCACAACGACGACGACGACGGCGGACGGCGACGACGACGACGACGACGACTGACGAATGACGACGACGACGGACGACGACGTACGGACGACGACGACGGACGTCGACGACGGACGATGACGACGACGACGACGTCTGCCAGTGGCGTGGGCGGGGGGGGGGGGCGAGGTTAACTTTACGGGGGGCGGGTCTCCATATCCTCGCCGCAGACTTTCGCAGGGCGGGGGCGGGTGTCGCAAAGGGGAGAGGGGGTTCTCTCCGGGGAGAGGGGGGAGATTTCCGGAGGGCGGGATGTCTTGGTTCCAAGGGAGGGGGTTGGATTTTGCCACCAGTGAGACGTACACAGAGGTCGCTCGCTCCTAGATTTGGACGCGGTCCTTGACCACGCGAAGTCCAGTTGATGTGTTCCTGAGAAGGTAAGGCTGCTGCTCCCTTCCCAGCCCGCTGCGGTATCTGGTGGGAGTCGTGGGCTTCGCCGGAGGCCCGTGCTGGGCTTCTTTCACCTCTCCGGGAGCTTCCGGCGGGGAAGGGGATCAGAGAGACAGGTATTCCTTTCGATCAGCGGCGAGCCTGAGGGGTGATGATGCTGCTGCTGCTGCTGATGCTGATGCTGATGTTGATGATGGTGATGATGATGGTGATGATGCTGATGCTGATGACGATGATGATGATGATGATGATGATGATAATGATGATGATGATGATGATGATGATGATGATGATGATGATGATGATGATGATGATGATGATGATGATGTAGATGAGACGGTGATGATAATGGTCATGATGATGATGCTTATGATGATGATGATGCTGATGCTGATGCTGAGGGTGCTGATGCTTATGCTGATGAGATGGTGATGATAATGCTGATGATGATGCTGATGCTGATGCTGATGTTGATGCTGATGCTACTGAGGATGATGATACTGCTGCTGAATATGAAGATGGTGGTGATGGTGGTGATGATGAGGAGGAGGATGATGGTGATGATGATGATGATGATGATGATGATGATGATGAGGATGAGGAGGAGGAGGAGGAGGAGGATGATGATGATGATGATGAGGATGATGATGATGATGATCGGCGGCGAGCCCAGGGAAGAAGTCATATGGGGGCGGGCCTTCTTAGAAGGCTCGGAAGGCCTCCAGTCTTCTGGTAATTTTTCTGAGTCCTCCCCGGGAACGCGGAGGCCTCCTCAGCATGCCGGAGGGCTTCCGAGAAGCCTCCCCGTCTTCCGAGAGGGCCTGCGCGTCTTCTCACTTCGCCCCCCCGGGCGCGCCGCCGCTTCGGCTCAGCTACGACGCTGCGCCTAATTTCGCTTTGGCTGGCGCGCTTGAGGAGGATGGCCCAGGGACATCCGGAGGGAAAGAAACACACAGACACAATTTATCGTCGACTCCCAGGAAAATACGGGAAAATATGGGACGTGGGGGGGAAGACGAAAACTCAGAAAATATGGGAAGATATGGGGAATCCTTTTATTTGTGTATATTTATTTGTGTGTTCTGGGGCCCCTTCAGGACAGGGGGGGAGGAGCGGCGACGGCGACGACGACGAAGACGACGACGATGAGTCAAACGAAACAGCGTCTCGCACACGCCGACAAGGTCGGGGAACTCCCTGCCTCGCTTCGGGGACTTGGCAGTCGGGGGCCAGGTGTTTTCAAGCTCTGTCGCTGATGAGCTTGCTTCGGTGCGTGCCGACGATTGCCAGGACCCAGTCGATCTTGCCCGCGACTTACGAGTTGGTTAGGCAAGCCTGCGTCAGCCTGAAGCGTAACGCCAGGATTGTGCTGGAGTGCTCAGGTGTTCGTTTTTTTTTTTTTTTGTTTCTTCCTTTTTTTTTTTTTTACTGTTTTGCCGATCGGCTCGGATCCTCGCACGCCCCCTTCCCCCCTCCCCCCGGAGTAGATCTTGGCTGATTTTGCCGCCTGTTTGAAGCAGGTGGGGTCTCCCCCATAATGGGCGCCTTGTTGCAAACAGTCGTATTAAGCAGAGGTCCTGAGCCAGACCCCACCTCTCCTCCCCCTTCCGCCCAATATCGAAACGCCGCATAAGAAAACGCTGACCAGATGCCTGTGCGGAGCCTGGCCGCAGGCTTTGGAAACAACCTATCGGCCCAGTGCTTCGTCGCCGCCGTTCGATCGAAGCGGATCGTCCGAGGCAGCGCGCACAGATGGACGGTCTTGTGCTCTGCGCAGAGGCGCAGGCGCGGGCTCCTCCGAGCCCACCCGCGCAGCTCGTGCCCTGCCGCCGATCCGTGCCCCGCGCTCCTGGCCTCTGGCAGCGCGGGCTGCAGCGGTGCACCGGGCAGGAGCTATCTCTCCTCTTTTTCTTCCTCCTCCTTCTCCTCCTTTTCCTCCTCCCTCCTCCCTCCCCAGCCCTCATTCTCCTCCTCCTCCTCCTCCTCCTCCTTTTCCTCCTCCTCCTCCTCCTCCTTTTCCTCCTTTTCCTCCTCCTCCTCCTCCTCCTCCTCCTCCTTTTCCTCCCCCCTCGTCCCTCCCAGCCCTCATTCTCTGCGGTCAGGGCGGGGGCGGCGGAGGCGCGCATGCCGTCGAAGGTCCTGTGGATGCGCCGCCAGCGCGTGCTACGTCGGCTGCTGCGCAAGTGCCGAGCCCGGGGGGGTGGGCGGTCGGGGGGGTGAGGGGGAGGGGGGCAAGCTAGGTGCGCTCGCATCATATCTGACGTCCCACCCCGCCCTCCAATTCCTTACCAATTGCGCTGTTTTTTTCACTATCCGCGGACGCGTGTCATGGCGGGCTTGGAATTCCCAGAAAGGCCCCATCGCGATATGCGTAGTCAGATAATGAGAGCTGCGTGCATAGGAGGAGTGGGAGGAGGAGGCGGTGGTTGCGGATGACCAGGAGGACAAGGATACGGATTAAGAAGGCAGAGGAAGAGACGGGGTCGGAGTAGGAGGAGGAGGAGGAGGAGGAGGAGGAGGAGGAGGAGGAGGAGGAGGAGGAGGAGGAGGAGGAGCTCCTCTTGGGGGTTCTTGGGGCTCCCTTCGGTTGTCTTGGGGCCCTCCTTGGCCGTCTTGGCCCTCTCGGGCGGTTTTTCTTCGGGGGACCCTCTTGGGGCCCGCTCGGGCGGCGCTGGGGCTCCTGTGGGGCGCCGTCTTGGGTCCATCTCGGGTGACCGTTTGGCGTTCCCACTGGAATCCTTGGGAGCCTTAGGGCTGCCAATTTTTTGTTTGGGCGCCGCGGGCCCCTTGAGTTCGACAGTCAAACGACAGGACCCGAGACACGAGGCACAGACAAACGAAAAGGCAGACAGCACAAGACAGCAGTCCCGCGGGAACCTTCCCGCCTCTCGCCCGGAGGTCAAACCTTTGCTGAGGGTGCGACAACTTGCCCCTGTTGCCGTCCGCCTCCTCCAGAGCATGTCGGCTCTTGTTCCAGAGGGTTCGACGCGGAGCCTCCTCCCTGACTATTTCGGAGGACCCCAGGAATAGGCCAAATTCATGGTTCGGGAACATGTTGGGCAGCCTCTACAGGTCGTCTTTTGCCTTACTTGGGTCTAAGTGTGACTGGGCTCCAGCGGGCAAGCCCGTCAGTGGGAGTGCAGCAGTTCACGTTCAGTGATTATGGGAGTTCATTTGCTAGCGAATGTGCTCTCTCATCTGACTGGCGCGCGATGCCATGCGAGATGCCGCAAATTCGGGAGCACGTACATGGGTCTTGCAGCGCACGCTGCGGCATGGAGCTTCACGCACGAATTCGTCTTCCTTCGCACTTATATCAGGTTCTCGCAGACCAAAGTGCGCGATCAGTATGGGTGTGGTGATGGTTTTGGTTCCAGTTCTCGTTTGGGTTCTGGTTTCGGTTGGTTCCGGTTTTGGTTCGGGTTCTGGTTCCAGTTTCGGTTTCGGTTTCGGTTCCGGTTTTGGTTTTGGTTCTAGTTAAGTTTTTCTTTAGGGTCCTGAAGAAGACTCCTTTGGTCAACATTCCGGTTCTGATTCTTGTTCCGGTTTTCTTTCATTTTCTGGTCTCGGAAAAGAGCGTTTGGTTCCGGGTCCAGTTCCGGTTTCGGTTTCGGTTTCTTATATCTTGCACCCCCCAGGTCACGGTTCAGGTTCCGTTTGAAGTTTCGTTTTTTTTTTCCCCCCCTTCCTTCCAGCCTCGAAGAAGACCTCTTTGGTCACAGTTCTGGTTTTGATTATGGTTCGGGTTTCCTTCTTCTTCTGGCCCCGAAGAAGGCCCTCCAGGTCGTGGTTCTTATTTTGGTTCCGATTCCAGTCTGGTTTTCCATTTTCCAACCCGGAAGAAGACCCATCATGATCACGGTTCTGGTTCCTGTTCGGGTTCTGGTTCCGGTTTTCTTTTTCTGGCCCAGAAGAGATCCCTTTGGTCACGGTTCCAGTTCCGGTTCTCGTTTCTTCCTCTTACGGCCCCGAAGAAGACCCACTGGTCACGATTTTGGTTCCAGTTCCTGTTGTGGTTCCGTTTTCCTGCTTCTTCCAGCCTGGAAGAAGACCCCCCAGGTGACGGTTCTGGTTTCTGTCCTGGTTCCAGTTCGGGTTCTTCTTCTTGCTCGGGAGAAGACCCCCAGGTCACGGTGTTGGCTCCGGTTCTGGTTCTGGCTCTGGTGTCTTTCTTCTCTTCCAGCCTCGACGAAGCCCCCCCGGGTCATTGTTCAGGTTCCGGTTCCAGTTGCAGCTCCAGCTTCTTTCTTCTTCCAGCCCCGAAAGAAAAACCTTGGTCACGGCATTGGTTTCGGTTCTGGCTTCGGTTCCCGTTTCTTTCTTCTTCCTGTGGTTCCGCTTTCTTGCTAGATTAATTTTCGAACACGCCTCCGGTCACGGCTATAGTTCTGGTTCCCAGCCTCGAAGAGGACCCCCTCTGGTCAAGGTTCTGGTTTCTGTTCTGGTTCGGATAATCCGTAAGGGCTTCGCCCCCTGCCGCTGGCCCCCTCTCGGATAATGGGCAATGCAAGAGCGAAATCATTAGGCCTTGGCGCCGCCGTGAAGCAGCGTCGGGACTTCACGCGAAGACGATGAGTAATCGGCAAGACAAATTGAGATTCTGATGGTATTGTTGAATTCAGTGCTGCATTTCGAAGGTTTATGGCTTCGGATACGCGAGTAGCGCGTAATTTGCGAGGGTTTATGGCTTCGGGCTCGCAGCTATAGCGTAATTTACGCAGGTTTATGGTTTCGGAGACGCGGGTATGGTGTAATTTACGAGGGTGTATGGCTTCGGACACGCGATTCTTGATGAATTTTCTGGTTTCGGGGTCGCAAGAGTGAGGGGAACGCAACCCAGCTAGGTCCCCGGCGGTTCACGTTCCATGCCGGCGCAGAGATCCGTAGTGAAGGCAGGGAACACGGAATGCACCTTAGTGAAGACAGGGAGCAGGGAATGCACCCGTAGCGGTTTAGGCCCTCTCCGGGCCCCTTTGGGCAATCATGGCCAGGCCATGGCATAAAGCAGGGTTTCTGTCGGATGGGACTCTTCTCGAAAACTCGAATGCACTCGCCTGATTGAAGCGCTACCTTACGATTATGCGGGGGAACCCAAGGGATCGGATCTGCTAGAAGTGTTGAGCGCAGACTGCTCGCCCAGAGGCGGGGTGAGCATCAAAGCTAAGTGTATCGTAGCTTCTGACGATTACTACGCGCACTGGATGCTGCGTGGCGGGTGGCCCGACTTGGGATCCCACCACGTGTGCCCCGACGACAGTGCGGAGTGCCCGAAGCACCAATGCCCGAACGAGATCCACATAGAGGTTTGGAGGCCGATCGTAATCGACGACATTAAGAAACACAATATTGCATGGGTTGCGAAGAGGTTCAAAACGAAAGTTTTGGGTGTTCTCGCGGATCCACCGCTCCCCCCGCCTCTCGAGCAGCCGCCAGAAGAAGCCCTTCGCTCAGGGGAGCGCAGGGGCTCGGGGGCTCCTGAAGGCGCCCTGTGGGAAAAGCCCGGGGACAAGCGTCGCGGTGACGAGGACAGGCCTCGGGGGGCCAGCCGCGGGGGCGGCGCGGGCCGGAAGTTGGTCGACCTCCGCAGCCGGCTGGAAGTTGGCGTAGGGCTCGTGGACCAGGCGGCCGCGGAAGACCAGAAAGCAGACGGAGCCTCTTTTGGGCGGGAGGCAGGCTAGAAGAAAACGAGACGGATCTTCGCAGGGCGGCAGAGGAGACCGGCAGGGCAGGCCTAGGGGCCGAGACCGGCCTCGGCGCGAGCGCGGAGGGTTTCAGGGCCGGAAGGCGAAGGCGAGGCGCCGCGAGGACCGCCCAGAACGGTCGAGGGGGCGCGAGGCGTCGTCCGACTCATTCAACAGAAAGAGAAGAAAGCTCCTGCGAGAGTCGACTTGTAGCAACTCGGAGGAGAAGAGTTTTCACGTAGCCTCGGCTTCAGGGAGCCGGTCCTCTGTGACCCAGGAGCCGCTCTTGCGATTTGCGCGACGCCACCCGGGCCGCCTCTCCAGACGTCTGTTTCGGACGATGGCGAAGGCGGTGGCGCCTGGGGCCGAGGCGAGCAGCGACGACGAAGACAACGAGGGACAACTAACCCCAGCAGCCAGCGCATATTTTCTCCGAGTCCTGTCGACGAAGTGCACTTTGTCGAGGAGGAACAAGTCCGACATGTCACTGATGTGCAAGATGTTGGACTGGGTGGCGCTCGGGAAGGTCGACCGCGCCATGGATTTCTGCTGGCAGCACCTCGCGTCATTGGAGGAAGCCACCTTGGGCGGGAATTGGAACAACGCCAAGTTCCTGGAGCTCGTGGAGACGGGCGGCGCTTCTCTCGTGAACGCGACAGAGAAGTGCATGATGCTCAGCGAGGTCCAGCAGCAGCAGGAGCTCAGCTCCCGGTCGGGGGGCGCCCGGGCGAGCAGCTACAAGGGCGGCAAGCCGGAGCCGCAGCAGGCGTGGCGGACAGACGACGGGTCCGCGCAAAGGGCCCCCCACTCGGGCAAGGGCCACCACTTCTACGCGACGCCGAAGAGCAAAGGAAAAGGCAAGGACAAACCGGGGAAGTGGCGGTCTTCCCCAATGCCCAACGCGGCGCGGCCCTGGACGTCGATTCCAGGAAAGCCGCGGCCACCGTGGGTGAAGAGCCCACGCCGGCCCCCATTTTGGATAGGGCCCCGGGCGCGCAGCGCGCGGCGGATGTTGATTCCGCAGAGAGCGCGGTGGCTCTCGCTACGCGCGAGGACTTTCCACAGCTGTCTAATCAGATAGCGGCGGGCTCCTGTGCCGCGCGCCCCGGAGTAGCGACCCCGCCAGAGGCGGCCTCTGGCGGAGCGCAGGGCCGTTCGGATGTCGATTCCGACGGCGTCCGCATTGGCGAAGCCATGCAGGACCCTTCCCCCGAGCAGCGTAATCAAGCTGCATGGGGGTCAGGCCGCGCAGCGCGGCCCCACCGGGACATGGCGCCTTTTCAAGAAAGCGCAGATGTGCCAGACCGAATTCGCACCCCTTCGTCGATGCATCCTGCTCCCCTTTCTTTCGCAAGCTGGCAGCCTATCATTAGTCGCCTTCGGCGCCCCCGCCGCGCCCCGGCGAAGTCGCCCACTGCCTCGTTGCCGCGCTGGGCTCGACTCGATTTCTAACATCGGCGTTTGTTTTGTCGGAGTGGCCTCAGGATTTGTCCGAGCCGCAGGT